GATCATATGCACTGTCAATATTGTTTTCTTTGTATAAATCATCCCATCTTTGTGCCAGTAAGGCATTTTTTAAAGCGTTCATTGCTTCCTCTGATCTAACTCGTCTGTATTGAATAGCTTTGTCCGGCATGTTATTACTATAGTTTCTGTCATAAACTGCAAATACTGGTAGGTGGTCACTTATATCATTTATTAAGAGTCCACTTACTGTATTGTTTTCTATGTCATTTGTGAATATATTGTCTATGAGAGTAGCACAGTGCGATGTGATTCTGCTGGGTCTAGTAATTTTTGGATATAAACCCATACTGTACATTGTGTTGATAAATTCTTCTGTCATGCTGTGATTATTTGGATTTAGAAGGTCAATATTGAAGTCACCACAAATGAAAACTGTTTTATGAATCACTTTTGAGAATATTTCCTCCATCCAGTCCTTGAAAATCTCAATACTAGAGCCGGGTGCTCATACAACTGATGATTACATTTTTCGTTTTTTCTTTGCAGATTTCAATCGTGATACATTCCAATACATTATCAATCACTGTTGACATATAATTCATCACTTTACATTTTAAAGTATTGTCCACATACAAGGCTACTCCTCCTCCACCCTTGTTTTGTCTATTTATGTATCTGAGTTCATAGCCCTCCAGCTCAAAGTCTATGCCTTTGTCCTCCGTGATCCAAGTTTCAGATATGGCAATGATGCTAAATGTTTGTTGAAACTGATTTAAATATTCCTTGATGAGATTAAAGTTTGCATACATGCTTCTGCTGTTGGAGTGAATAATAGATAGCTTGCCCTCTGATGATATGCTCTGGTTGTACTGTTGATCAGTGTAATAACAGCATTTGTTGATGATAGAAGAGAAGAAATTATTGTCCGGGTCTATTTCATAATCCAGATCTTTTGTTTTATAGTCAGTGTATTCAAATGTTTTTAGCAACAGTTGGTCTTGCTCCTTGATCATCTGAGACATATTAATATTTTCCCCTTTTGAAGATGATTGCGTGTGATTCAGTGTGAGTGATGATTGTGTGTAAGTGCTTGTTACCTTATGTGTGGTCCAGAACATGAAGATTATTGGTATTTATCCAGATCCTCCATGTTTCTGATGACCAGTACTTTGGCCTCCTCAGGTGTTCCGTTTAGCTTTATAAATATTTTGCAGTTTGTTGTCCAGGTGTTCTGAATTGTCTTCTGTTTTTTCATGAAGCGAGCCTTTCTGGCTATGTCGCCGTTGTACTTGGTCAGATGCTCGTTGATGTAGACATCTGATCCTTTCAGCTTCCTTCCTTGTTTGAGTAAGGCCGTTTTGTGTTTTGTTGTAGCAAACACCGTGGTGGTGGCTTAAAGCCCACCTCCGCTACGCGCCGTCCGTTAGATGAGCCTGGTTAGATTTAATAAAAGAAGGAGTTCAAAACACCGGAATAAAGGTTATAACAATAATCTGATTTTACTGGTAAAAAACACTTATACAAGTTTACAGAGTACTCTGGACTTCCAGTTCTACTGCCGTGCAATACAGGTATCGGGACCAGCCAGTCAGAAACAGGAAGCCCAGAGTACTCTGGACTTCCAGCTCTACTGCCGTGCAATACAGGTATCGGGACCAGCCAGTCAGAAACAGGAAGCATTTTGCATGAATAAACAACAGTATTCATAAACATATTTTGGGGCGGAGAAGTGTTGACTCTTCCGTCCCATTTTACTCCGAAGCGAATCAGAGAGTCCGTGGGGAGGAGCTGTGTGAGCTGCTCACTCCCCCAGGTGTTTTTACTGGTTGGATTCACTTCTGGTCGGGTCCAATACAGCGAATCAGAGTTCTGGGAAAAAGTATGTTTCTTCTGAACAGCCTGAGATCTTCGGAAGTACACAAGGACAGAGTCAATCTTTATCTCTGCACCTGTATTCACTCCTTTACTTTCCCAAGGAATATTTCACACAAACTATTCTTTCCCAGACAACCAAACATTGTACACAGATATATTGATGCCCAGAAAGGACCTTGAAAAGAATATGTGTGTGTGCTGGTGGGAGGAGGTGTATGTGTGTGTAGCAGGATATCTTGGTCAGTGAGTGTAAGTGAGAAGAGAATATATATAGGATTACTTAAAACAGTTCAAACAATACATGTTCACTAAAATACAGTTCAAAATAATACATGTTTACTTCAATACAGTTTAGAACCATATCTGTTAACTTTAGTTTCCTGTTCACAAACCTGATGAGAATAGCCGGTTTGTTGCCAGCGTTAGTCCTTGGCAGGGGGTGGCATGCCTCGATGTTCTCACAGCCCAGTTCGATCCCCTTGGACTGGAGGAAAGCAGCCACCTGTTGCTCAGTGGAGCTGACATCAAGCTCCCCGGGGTCACTCCTGTTGTCAACGGTCACAGCCCGAGCGTATGACCGGGGTTTTATGTTGAGCCCGGTAACGATAACATTGTTCATCCTAGTATATTGCTCAAGGTCCTCCACTCTGCTCTCCAGGTAAGTTATCCTCTTGTCCTTCTCAGCATTCTGGATCCGCAGATCCTTAACCTCTTTTACAAGGTCCAAAATGTTTTTCTGCTGCAACCTGACAGCAGAAATGTCCTCCGCCAGGAAGTCAAGCGACTTTTTAATGTCCTAGACCTCCTCCTCCGCGATGGTTTTCTTTGGACCCATGAAGTACTTTGATAGAATCCAGCGATTAAGATGTTATATTGTATGTTACGCATGCACAAAAGTAAGTTTGTCAATAGTCGCAAAGACTTCGCTCTGCACGCTGTTGCTCCTGCCCCACAGCAGCATTTGGATGCACTTCAACCAAAACCCAGGCAGTGATAAAGCGCACTATTTGTAAAGGCAAAATATCCTATAAAGCAGGGTCAACAAATAATCTCCATCGCCACTTAAAAACACAGTATCTAATATTAAGAGTTGCGTGAATTTCATTCAAGGCAAGGCAACTTTATTTACTTAACACATACAGAGGGTAAATTCAAAGTACATTCACTGACATGAATGACATGGATATGGCGCCACCTTGTGTCATGTTTACAATGCAGATTATTGACATTAGGTCTGGCAATACCACTGCCTAAGACTGCTAAAATCTCCCTTCCTCTGTCTAAAAACACAAAAAAAACAAATAAAAATACAATAAAAAACACAAATAAATAAGGGCCTCTTTAAAATGTTTATCAAATGTTAAAACCGAGTTAAAATGCCAATATGCACTTCTTGGCATGTAATAAAAACATTACATAAAAGCAAAGAGTGATCCGTAAAACCAGCAGGTGATATACTGCACATTTTAAAAGTATTAAAATTATGCTTAAAATAATAAATATGATCTAGTCTAGCTGATTAAATTCTATTCTCTCGGATGTGGGACCAGGTGTACTGCCTGTTGTCTGCGTGCATCCTCCTCCATACATCCACCAGGCCGTGGGAGTGGACCAGCTGCCTCAGAGCATGCTGGGATGCTGGATGCGGCTCTGCATGGTTGCGATCTAAAGATGCATTTTCTGTAGAATTAAAATCCCCACCCAAGAATAATAAATCCTCCGTGGCACAACCGTTTAAAACATCATTCACTTTGAGTAAAAACAGCTTCCTCTCTGCACCGTTTGTTGGAGCATACACATTTATAAAAACAACTGTAAAAAGGTCAAACCGTGCTTTTATTCAAAGCAACCTCCCCTTGATAAAATGCTCGACCTCCAGTGAGACAGGATTAAAAGACTTGGAGAGGAGGAAGCCCACCCCCCCACTGAGAGAGGTGTTGTGGCTTAAAATGACTTCCCCCTCCCACTCCCCTTTCCAGTCCGTCTCATTAAAAACGTCGCTGTGTGTCTCTTGTAAGAAAAGGACATCAACATGTTTTATTTTTGCAGTCTGATACATTAAAGCTCTCTTTCTCAACTCTCTGGCTCCATTTACATTCAAACTTCCCACTCTAAAAGTGTCCATTGTGAGTGAGATATTAAAAGCAAAAATAAAAACAAATAAGTTAATTAACACACACATTAGGGATTTTGAATTCACCGCTGCTCATTTGTTTCCTTACTTTCATCACAAGTTTTTTTAATCTAAAAGCGTCCTGGTCAGTCAAGCCAGACTCCTCTTTTTGGCTCATGTGGAGTTTTGCAAATCAGGGAAATACTCTTCTGTTATCACCCCATGTTGTTTTTTTGTCTGTAGTGTAATTCAAATGAACATCATCTAATTGGCTCCAAATTTGACGAGCATGGCAAGTGTCCAGCCCTGTACAATATCTATAGAGTCATAGCGCCACCTAAAGAAGTTGTTGGCTTTGTCTTCTTAATGAGAATCCTTCATAGAGCTTGGCTCAGGCTGTTGTAGCAGTTCTGTGATAGCGAGGAGCAACAAAGGCAAACATGATTAACAGTCATGAACAAGGTGCATTTTGCAAAATATTGGAACTTTAAACAGAGGAGCTAAACATAAAATAATATTATTGGAATGTATGTTCTTCAGCTGAAATACAATTTCTGACATCCAGCACTGAGCATTAGTTATCCTCCTTTAAAATAACACCCACTGCTAAAGTCAAGGCTCAAAGCTTGATAATACAGTGGCATCATTGTTTAATTTCACTGACTTTATTTTTTGTAGACAACAAAAAGTGTAGAGCAAAACAAATCCTGGTTAGAAATACAAAACTGGAACTATTAACCAGCAGACCTTTAAGCCAAGCTTTGATATGAAACATTTCTAGAAATACATTCAAGTCTTGAAATAATGTGAGCTTCCCAACATGTTTTGACTCAGACATCTGCAAACTTCCAAAGGTTATTCTGAATTGCAGCTATGTATCATGATAGAACATGACCATCTCTTTACATTTTACACTTAAAGGGTCAGTTATAAAGCCCTAAAATGTTTTTACATAGATTTCCAGGTTTTTATTCTGTAATGATGATTAATTATATACTGAACTGGAGGATTATGAAACACACATGATCTGTCTCTGGTTGTTAACAACATGTCAGGCCAAACCAGCCTCAACACACATCTGATAGAATATTCCCTGCAGGCGGAGGAGCTGAGAGGGCGAGTCCATCTCTGCAATGGAGCCTCGGTCCATCACAATGACTCTGAGGAGAGAGAGACAAAAGTGAGCACAGACAAGGATACACTTTGCCTTAAATATGATTTACATTATAAACTTACCTGATGTGAAAAAAGCACAGCAGATCAACTAACTTGCATATTTCCACCTTTATGCTGCTTTGTGCAGGTGAACTGAAAATAATTTATATTCTACAAGCAGACTTAGCTGTGAATAACACAGAATCTAACCAATGATGCCTGCCTTTAATCTTTTCTTGTACACTGCATTAAACCAAATACCAGACGAAAGCTAAACTCTGCATGCATATCCTGCGACTTCCATTTGAAGTAACATTAAATATATAAAAATGCATTGCTGCTGATACCTTGTGTAGTCCATGATAGTGTTGAGGCGATGAGCGATGGTCAGTACTGTACAGTCATCAAACTGAGTCCGGATGGTGGACTGAATAAGCTGGTCTGTTTTCAGGTCCACGGCTGCTGTGGCTTCATCCAAAACCAGTATCCTTGTCTTCCTCAGGAGCGCTCGGGCCAAACACAGCAGCTGCCTCTGACCGAGACTGCAGAAAAACTTCAAACTTTACACTACGCCTCTATGAAAAGATACGAAAAGCATGTCTCCACGCACCTAAGTGCAAAAATATTCATATGTGACTGGCATTTTGGCTATAAGATAGACAACAACAACAAATTCCACATACCATGCTAATACACTTATCTCTTTCCCTTTTTGCTATTGCTGCATTCTAACCAAATCAGGACATTTGGGGGAAAACCACAGGGTTTTGACTTTCCTTATTCACAAATATTGCAGTCCATAAAAGTGTTTTTATGATAGCTAGTGGTTTCCATATTGAGTTATATAATCAAAACAAATGTTAATATATTCAAATATAATCTTGTATAACCCACAATGTAAAATGCATTATATTTCATGTTGCTCCATACTTACAGCATATACAAAATGTAAGCGGTTTGGAAAATGTATAGAGGGAGTTTAAAGTCTGTTATAGTTTATCACTATGGGTGTCACTGTTTAGCAGAGGGAAGACAGCTGTATTCAGTCACAGCACAGCGGTCACCTATGAGGACTTTCTACTGGTGGGTTTTTACGATAGAAAATAAAATCGAGCTACTGATTTGTTTCAAATGCAGCCTTATGTATCTGTCTTCCACTGCTAGTGGTCCAGGTGTGTTGTAGATGGATCTAACCTTAGGTTCTCTCCTCCTTCACAGCACTGATGGTTCAGTTTTTGTGGCAGTGCAGACACAAAGCTGCTCAGGTGAGCGAGTTCCAGAGCGTTCCAGATATCCTCTTCTGAACATGTGTCAAAGGGATCTAGGTTCATCCTCAGAGAACCAGAAAACAGCACAGGGTCCTAGGAAAGAGAGGATGGAGATTACCATAACACATGAAATAGCACTGGTCAGCGTTCTTATATTGCCTTTGTAGTAACTACATGCATGATAGCAAGATGGTGGCGGGTGCGGACGCAGCGGCCCCTTGCTCTCCCGATTCTTTAGTGTTTTTGAGTGTTTTTAATGTTTCGTCTATATGTTCGTCATGTCTGTTGAGTTCACTTCAAGTACCCAGGACTGACAACACAGTCAGGAGTAGACAGTGCAGTCGCAAGTTCTTGCTGGACAAGAAACAACCCAGACACTTGACGCTACGTTTGCAGAGGAAATTAGCGGCCTCCGGAATACTCTGCCTGACCTTGCCGTGGAGTAAGAGGAAGCAGAAGAGAGGTAAGTGCGGAGGCATCCGGGGTAGGCTAGCAGCTAGCCAACACAGGCCCACTATTTACGAGCTTGCTCATGGCTAATGTACGATCACTGGACAATAAAATGGACAACATAAGACTCCTCCGGTCTACCCAGAGTGAGGTGAGAGAAGGCTGTGTGTATGTTTTCACAGAAACATGGCTAAATGACAACATCCCGGGGGAAGACCCGCGGTGGAGGGGGTCATTGTTTACATCAGTGATGCTTGGTGTAGGGACGCTGTGGTTTTCTGCAAACACTGTTCACCGCTGGCGGAGTTTATGTTCGTGAAGTGCAGGCCTTGCATCTCCCAGGGGAAATCCACGCCATCCTGCTAGTAGATGTTTACATCCCCCCCAGCTCCAACAACAAGGACAGTGAGGATATCCTCGTATGTGTTCACCTTCTTGGCAATAAACCTTTTTCTGATTATGAAAAACATTTCCATTGTAGTGGCTGTTAAAGCCTTTTACTGTGGTAGAAAATAGTTGGTCATCCTAAACCGGACCATCCACCATCAAAGAGTTTGTTTATTTTTCTACAGACCTGAGGAATTATGGTGATTCTGGAGCGGAGGTCATGAAGGCCGATGTGTGCGATGTCGATCCCGTCGATAAAGATTCGTCCCTTTGCTGCTTCCAGAATCCGGAAGATTCCCAAAGCCAGAGAGGACTTCCCAGCTCCGGTCCGTCCAACTATCCCCACCTGCATTATTTGATGAGTTAATAACTCAATTCATAAAACATCCAAGCGGCAAAAACTGCAGTTGATGAGGTGGCCACTTGAGACTGGCTGCAGAATAGAGCATTGTCCATAGACATCAATGTTAAAATACCCACCTTCAAAGTAAAAATGAACATGTCTACAGCCTGGTTCAAGAAGGGCTTGGTCTCTATAGCTAATATTCCGAAACAACTGTACATAATCACCCACATGGGGGTCAGAGGGCCTATAAAAGTCACGGCTCGCCACTGCATTTGACTGATGGTTAGGGGCTAAAAGAAATAGACCCGGTAAAGTCACCTAATAATAAAAAGTGGCGGAATGTGTTGCAATCAGTAGCGACGCCAGAGTATTTTTGTTGGGTAATCTATGGTAGGGCTAACCCATACAGTGGTGGTGCTCAAGTCAGTATTTGCAATGTAATTACATCAGTGTTTCTCCTATATACAAATAGCGGTGCCGCTGCTAGGGGGCGCCAGCCAGGTACTTTTCTTATTCATAATAATAAGTGGCGACCCTTTTTCATTTTTGATTGTTTGTTATGTGGATTTGTAGTATTTGTGTTACTGTATGTTCAATAAAGGTGTATTCTAAATCTTGAGACATTGCCACTGTATGTACTGGCAGGGCCGATTTTTGGCATAGGCGACATAGGTGGTCGCCTAGGGCGCCAGATCTGGGGAGGCGCTGCGCTGGCAGATCTGGGAGGGGAAAAAACTTTTTTGACCGTTGGCGCTCATCCTAATTTTTGGCCTTGATGTAACAACATTCATAATTAAGTAAATGTAACACCCTTTTCACCCCGGTTACACTTTTCATTTGCCCTGTACGATGGGCGCTGTAAGTGATGAAAGTGGGGGATGTTGGCTTATCAGGCGCCCGCAGCTCACAGCCAAAGTGCGAGCGTGGGAGCGAGAGAGCGAGCGAGGGAGAGAGAGAGAGGGCGCACCGGTACCGGCGCTGTTGTTATTAGAATCTGGTGCTAGCTGTGCTAACGAATATAAGAAGTAGATGTTTCTACAACCAGGGTGGAGGAGAGCTCCCCTGTCAGACTGAGAGGCTCAGTGAGGTAAAGGACTCTCTGAGTGTTTAGATAGTTCACTTTAGTCTAAGTCATCTCAGTGGGTCTCAAACAAATATGTGTTTACAAATTATGTAAACACATATTTCCAAGGCACTCCTTTATAATTATTAGGATAAATAAAAACAGGTTTAAAATCATTCCAATGTATACTATAGGACAGTAAACCAAAAATATCGTTTAAAGTTGGAGAGATACAAAAATATGCATAAATAAATAAATGTTAACTAGGTAAAATAAGATATAAATGAACAACAAAAATAAAATAAGTTACATTTATTTGTTATTGGCTATGGTAGGTTATTGGTTATGTTCACATACTTATTTGATTATTAAAATGTAAACCGATCTTTTTCAGATGGGTGTTTAGAGTTGTACCCCATAGATCAGGTCTCTAGTAATTGTGTGCTCAAAGTGGACCAGATTGAAACATTTTATTTTAAAATGTTCAAAAAAATCATTTATTCTTTATAAAATCTCGCCTAAATTCTCGCCTAGGGCAGCAAATTGGCTAGAACCGGCCCTGGTACTAGGCCTCAAGAGCCTTTCTTGTGCTGGCAGACACATAGAAACAAATTGGCGGGGCGCACTTCGCACGCGCACACACTAAAATATTCCACGCACTCCGCGCTCACATTATGCTGGGCCCACGTGCCTTAGCACCGCTGCTATGACTCCATCCTAGGGGAAACACTGTACATACACGCTATATTTCCCCCCTTGACAGTGAAACACCACACTTGAGGTTTAGATTATTTCCCTGTCTCAATCAAAATCGAACTGTATGAAATAAAACGGCACATTTGTCTTGTAGTAGCCTAAATAAAAAGGGATCACTGTGAACGTGACGTATGATAGTACACGTTGAAGATCCAATGGGGATACTGAATGGCGGTTCCGACTGATCTCATCAGTAATGCAAGACGCAGACCCAACGTTGCGTTGCTCTGATTGGCTGTAGGTCTATTCAAATTGCATTCGGAAGCATTTTGATCTGACCGCGGCCGCGCTGATATTATAACGCCAGAGAATTTCCACACCTTTAGTGTATAAAACTCCCCCACTACTTAGACTATTCCTTGCACCCCTCTTCTAGCATAAGCCCGAATGGTCTAATCCATATTGCATTAGTAACGTGCACTTGTTGTTACAGCAGGATCAGTTTGTGTGTTGTGGACACGACCCGTATATTTTCGCAAGCCGTGTTCTCAACATTTAGCATTTTGCTTATTATTTAATTTAATTTGCATACTTTAACATCATTTTTCATGGTGGGGCTAAGGTGGGGCTAAGACATTTCTTGGTATGGCTGTAGCCTACCCCAGCCATACCCTGGCGCCGCCACTGGTTGCAATTAAAGGTTCTATGAAGTGTGTGTATTTTGAAAATGTTTGTCACAATTCACAATGGTCCCAATGGTTTTTGATAGAGCTGGAAGAAGCTTTTGAGGCTGTACGTCAACCTCAAAATGTATGGCCCAGGAACCCAAACATATTTTAAAAAACGATTATTAGGGAAACGTGCATTTTAATATTTGTTACACTCCAGGAACTGATAGGTCGTGATGGGTGTTAAGTTAAAGGTCCCATGTCATGGCCATTTCTACTGATCATAATTCCATTGTTGAGGTATACTAAAATAGATTTATATTGTGCAATTTTCCAAACTCACATTGGTTTCTCATACAGCATCTCTGTATAGTATGTGTATTCACTCTCTGTCCTACACGGCTTGTTGGAGCTCCTGCCCCCCCCTCCCTATGAGCCCAGTGGCCGTCTGCGAGACAGCGAGACACAGCGAAACTCAGCCCGAACACACACACACACCCGCAGCCTGGCTGGGAGTTTGTGTGTGCTCACACACCGACTCACAGCCCTGCCGCGTCCCGCCGTCTCAGGGAGGAGAAATCGGCGGAGCTGCAGCTGAGAAAAGATTGAGTGTGTGTGTGTGAGGATGTCACATTGTCAATTTGGACCAATCCACGGACTTAACGTAACGGCTCCGCGGACGTAACGTAACGGCTCCACGGATTGGTCCATTTGGGTATGGGCACGTCACTGTACCCAGTGAGCTGAGGGTTAGATTAGGTTTCTTTTTCAGAAACAAGTCCTGTTTCTCTTTTGAAGCCAGGAAAAGGCTAGTCACTGTGACCTTTTTACCTGTGCTAGACTATGGTGATTTGTTGTATATGAATGCACCTGCCCATTGCCTGGAAAGGTTAGATGCCGCCTATCACAGTGCTCTGAGATTTGTTACTAACTGTAAAGTACTTAGTCATCACTGTACCCTGTATGCCAAGGCAGGTCTGCCTTCACTTACTGGTCGGAGGCTCAGTCATTGGTACATGTTCATCTACAAAGCCATGCTGGGTAAACTACCTTCTTATATCTGCTCTTTGATCTCACGGACAGTGGCAAGTAGCTATTGCCTGAGATCACAGGATGTGTTTTTATTACATGTGCCAAGTGCTAGGACTGTTTTAGGTGCTAAAGCTTTTATGTGCGCTGCTCCTCTGGCTTGGAACACCATGCAAAAAATATTGAAACTGAGCATTTTGATTCCCTTGCATCGTTTTAAAGCACGGCTGGATGAAATGTTATTGGATACCTGTAAATGTAAATAGGTTGCTAATGTATACCCCTGTAATTATGTTGTGATGTCCTTTTGTTTTCTGTTTGTTTATATATGTGTAACTAAATGTGCCGCAGGTCTCCCTTGTAAAAGAGATCGTTGATCTCAATGGGATTTTTTAACCTGGATAAATAAAGGCTACAAACAAACAAACAAACCCAGGAAGAAAAAGAGAAATCTCCAACGAGGCGTTCTGGGGCAGCATAGACAGGTATTTTCTTTGTTAGAGTTTTACTTTACAGGTAAACCTTCATAACATACAAGGGGACGGGTAATAACCAGAAAAGCATGACATGGGACCTTTAAAACCTTGACATAATAATATGAACCTGCCTTTCAGGAGGAAAGTATTTGTGATTGTCATTATGTGTGAGTACGCAAATCAGTTGTATTCAATGTTTTTACATTTTCAGACTTAATGAACATAGTGAATTTGTGTGGTCATGTGGCCACTTCAGCACTATGCCATGTCCAGTCAATGGCGTTTTCCCGTTGTCTGTGCTGCCATCTGTTGGGAAAATACTGAATGTACTCTTCCAATATCAGAGCATATGGTACAACTAGTTCCCCGAACAGTGTCCTTTGAAGACCATATTCTCAACAGCAAAAATGCCTTTTTTAACGGCCTACATGTCCCAACTTCAGTGTTTGTCCAGAAGCATCAAGTAAGATGGCAGACAGCTAGAATTTGTCATACCAAAGCCTATGCTGTGCATGCAGAAAAACTATACACGACAAGAAGATTAGAGATAAGAAGAAAGCAGGGTTATACATAATAGAAATGTTCTGATCACCCCACTTCGAACACATTTTCTGCTCAACTGTTCTTTTCTGAGGAGACTGACGCGAGCGGAGCCGTGGAGGATGGGAAAGAGGAGGAGGTGGAAAAAAGGGAGAGGAGGCTAACTGGAGGGAGCAGGCTTTACATGTGGCAAAAAAGGACAATTAAAACAAGTGACTGCAGGCTGAAGAGAGACACAGAGGAGCGGGGAGGAGGACGGTCAAGCAACTAGAAGCTGCTACTCAATCAGGTCATGTACACACACACACCACACACGGAGGGAGTACATGAAATTACCATTTCAGACACCGACTCTGACGACACAGACGCACTAAACACAGTAGAAATGATGCTATCACAATGAGAAAAACCATTTGTAATTTAGGAAGTACAAGGAGAAGAGATTATTTTCTTATGTGATCCAGGTGCATGTAAAACCGATCAATAAAACACATTGATCAAGAAATACTGAGAGACATGCAAGCAAAT